TGGAAGGCTGGAAGGCTGGAAGGCTGGAAGGCTGGAAGGCTGGAGGGCTGGCAGGGTGGAGGGCTTGCGTTGAAGGGGGGCAGTGGATATTTAAACTTCCGATTTAAACAGGTCATTTACACTACCTCTGTCATCCTTGGGCCTGGGCCGCCCTCCACATATTTAAAAAGCGTCACCGTAGCCTCAGATGCGTAAAACCGCATTGTTGAATGCTGCTTTTTGCAATCCTGAACGAACCGCAGCAGCACCAGGGAATGTAATTCTCACCATCGACACCATTGTCTTTGATCTTGCCCTTGCTAGCACCACCGCCATTACCATCAAGATCACCAATGGAAGGTACAGGCCCATGCCTTGGTCATGAACAGCACCACAGAACGAGAAACACGAGGGGCATAAAGCGAGATGCAGGTATATAGTATACACTACGAGGACAGAGTCGCACTCGCACTCGTGCACGCAGTACAGTATCTCTTTGTCATGGTCACGACAGCGACAAGTGAACAACGAGACACCCCAGCCGCCAAGCAAAGTCCTGGTTCAGGTTCAATGCCTCGACAGACAATCCCACAAGCTCATTGTGCAAGTCCTGCGGTGTTTGAGGCTTTGCATCTAAGGGCTTGCTGCGATTCTGCGTGCCCAGAGGGTGCATGCATACTACCATTATGGAATTGGGTCCCAAAAGACCATCCGCAATATGGTTTCGGGGGCCCTGATTCCATAATAGTAGGATATATATTGACCCTCTCTTGGGTACACACACTTCAGGCTAACGCTTGCAACTTGACGTCAAAGGCTCATCGGCGGCAGTATGGCGGTGACAACGAGAAGGACGACGACGATGACGACTTCTTACCACCATCAGTCTTTTTGCAACGGCTGCTAGTATTTCTACAATTTTTGCTACTCTATCCCTACTAAGAATGCTACTGGGAACTTCAGTACGAATAGCTCGCAAATCATGTTGGACGTGTTTTGGAGACACCTGCTGCGTTGCTTACAGCCGAATCCACGGGCACCGAAGAGAAGCGTGCCCAAATTTCGATAACATCTAGCACTCCAACATAACAGCTTGCGGCCTTCGCCTTAGACTCAAAGCGTTCGGACAGGTGAATTCCCATGAGGCCTTCTGAACCATAAACTCCAAGCTCCATCTCGCCCCTAAGCCCTACACCTGGAGGAGCTTTATGGCTTCGGGATGTGTTGAACAGCCCTAAACCCTGAACACCTCAACCCTACCCCGAAACCGTAGACCCTGCCCTGTCCACAAGATGTCGCACCAGGAGCAACGCTTCCAGCGATCTGGGACACTCTTCGCACTCTGCACGCAGCCAAGCCGCCTGAGATTTGCAGCTGTAACCTATATCCTCAGCCTCCCGCAGGAGGCTGGAACTAGGTTTTATGGCTTGGCATTGCAGCTTTTTGGAAGTCTGCGCTGAGGGCTGCAACTCCAACTCATTTTGGGTGCCGTTCCTGGTCGAGGCTACTCAGCCGCTGTGGACTGGAGCCGATGGGATGTGGGGGCCCCGTTTGAGGGTTCGAGCTTTGCCAATCTCTCTGATACACTTAGGGCTTCACAAACCCTGAACCCTAAACCCTGACTCTAGGGTTTAGGGTTTAGCGTTCTAACTTTAGGATGTTTGCGGGTTCGAGGTTTACGGCTTGCTTTCGGTTTGGCGCGCGTGTACATGCCGTGGCACACGACGATCTAATGCAATCCCTGAAGCCCTAACATCGGCGGCTTGATATTTAGAAGAGGGTTTTGCATTGTACTATACCTATAGTAATGAACCCCCAAAACAGTAGTGGTACTTATTTAGGACCCTATATTAGTCTTCGTTTCTCTCTTGCGTTCTCTCGGTCTTGCGAGAGACTATCTTGAGTCCAGAGACCGCGGCTCTTACGTTGTTTCCTGTGGGGCTGCTTGTGTGCTGCGTGTGTGCTGCTCTCTTCTTCTCCGACTTGAACAAACCACGTAAAGCCCAAACCCTAAACCAGGCAGGTTGCAGCAGGTACCTCATAGGGGTCCGAGGGCATACTTGTGAGCCGAATCTCCCGTCGGCACTGGTAGTTTAAGTTGGCCTTTGGTGCCACCATGTTCCATGCTTCTTGAGCTCCCTTGAAGAGGCTCCGGGCCAGAGGCTGTAGGGTCTCAGGCATCTCCTTGTCGATAACATCCTGGGGGCCATTATTCTTGTTTGGAAAGCAGCTCACACAGTTACCTGCCAGTTGCTTTGTCTTCGTGGTAATCGTTTACTGGACCCTGAAACCCGCACACCCAAGACGCCGGCAGCCGACTCACCCAAGCCATTATAAAAAAAGAAATGGAACAAGGTTGACGAGCGACTAAGTGACTCTCAAAATGATGGTAATGGAAGGTTCGAGTAGACAAATCCTGCCAACAAGCACCTAACCCCTGAACCTGACGCCCAAGGCTCTCCCACTGTCATCTCCATCGCCCGGTGCATTGTCCAACCACGACACTGGCGAAGGAAGAAGTCTTGGAAAGCGGCGATGTGGGGCAGCCTGTCGTGTGAGGCAGAAAGGATGATATACTTTGGGTTGCTATGTCCAGGTTCCAGTGATCATCCTGACTGAGTCAATAAATACTGTTATTCTGACGGGTGTCCGGATGGGTCTCTGGTTGTCAACACCTACTAGCCGTTGCTGGTTGATTTCTGGGCGGCCTACATATGGCCTGCAACTTGGCGATTGCATACAAGACTTGCTGGCAGGAGTCGCCCCGTTTCAGTCGTAGCTGCAACCAGAACTGAACGGTACACAAACAGAGTCGGCTGCACAAGGTTTGACATGGCACATGTAGATCAAAACCGACATCTGACTGAGGCCTACCTATAGTATCCACTGTATGCGTTGATTTTTGTCTTGTTTTGTATGCTAGAACCTAGCCTAAACCCTAAACCCTAAGCGGCACTACAAGTAAGACGAAAGGTAGACCTTCCAAGGATATGTTTGCAGAAGATTGCCGTCGCATTGTTGGAGCTGTCGGGAGGGTTTAGGGCAGTTTGGGGTTTAGGGTTGTATGTTACCTGGCATAGTTTCTGCACAGGCGGAACCACACTACGAACAAAGGCGCTGGATGAACTCTATGTGCATGACCCCCGCAATATCCCGACTCAAAATCCTCTAAGGCTTCAATCCCTAGACCCTAAACCCTATTCATCCCCTACATGGCCTTGACACCTTTACCAACGACCTCTGCTTGCTTCAGTCCTACACCTTCCTGGGCTGTAAACCCACCGTCCTTGAGACTGTGATCAGGTCTGCTTCACGCTCGAAGGCCCGAAGAAGCAGCGGATAGGTCCGTGCTGTTTCCGGATTGCCCTTCAGTTCGTCCATCATGTGCATACCACTGATGGGAAGCCAGCTTCGCATGACCTTGGATGGTCTATGAGACTCGCTTGACATGGTACCGGTACTCCATGGACTTTTGTGTCCAACAGCTCCAGTGCTTCAAGCCTTCTGCGAATAGAGTTTGTAGGCCCGAGGCTTCCGAGACCATCTCAAACCCTCACAATCCAGAGTCTTTAAGCACTAAACGCGGTAAGTCCCAAGCAGCAGGATCCAGGGTTTCGGTCGGCCGTCTTCCAATGAGCCGTTCATCGCAGAGTCAGGTTGAAGTGGATTCATGAACTCTCACACACACACACTAGAGCTCAGGCCTGAAATTCGACGAAGGAAGTTCGGATTGCTGTGCGATCGTTACCACGGCTTACCACCGCACAAAGTCAGTTCAACATGCGGCAGCCCAGCAACTCGTAAACGTATGAACTTTCCAAGGGCCTCAAAGGGTCCAAGTACCTAGGACACATAAATCCCCCAACCCAACTACCCGGGCACTTGGTTGCCCCAAGGCCTAAACGGAAACCCTACCTATCTCTCCAAGGTACCAGAGGCAGCATCCTGTCTCTGACTGTGCGGCGAGGCAGCTGCTCGACTTGAACCCGATCCTGGGCTCGTGCTGAAGTCCTTAAACCGTACTTATCATAACCCAAGCAAGAAGTAAACTTTCTACTAAACATCCCCTATGCTTGCTGAAACTCTGCGACGAAGATGCACCCCTCAAAACACCCCAAAAAGCCCCCATAGATGACCCAAAACCCTAAACCCTAAACCTTAAACCCTAAACCCTGATACCATTGAGCCCTAAAGTCCTAAAGCAATAGCCCAGGATCCTCCAACTCATCCCGAAGTCTCTCCTGTGCTTCTCTCGCACCGTCATCTCTGGCGGAACTCCGACCTGTCACTTGGGAAAAAGGGACGCCTCTCGGGTTTAGGCCTTTCGGGTCCAACACCTCAAGCTGAGTTGTGTAAGTTGAGTTGAGTTGAAAGGTAAACTTGTCCAAGGTTTCGGTTCAGGTACTGCCAGCACGTATCACAATTGTTCGAGAACCTTCTACATCGTTTAAGTTCAAGTGACATTCTCAACTCCGTGAGCTGCCCAACGGTGGAAGAATGTAGTGTAGCAGTTACACTTACTCAGCATGCGTGGATACTTAGGGGAAGGCATGGATTTCAATTTTGCAACAGCTACATGGATCTTCTGGGGTAAGGGAAGTGTGTTTACCCACCTGACGGGGCGTGGCGCAGATGTTGAGACCAGCGACGCTCCAGCTGAATCCGTTCTGTCTCCCCTCGTCCTGCTGGAGAAGGCAAGCTCCCTAAACCCTAAACCCCTAAACCCCTAAAGGTCCTGCTGGAGAAGGCAAGCTCCAACTTTGCTCAACCACGGCATGGAGCTGTTCAGATAATGCCTCGGCACTGCAATGGCGGAGCTCCTTTAGGATCTGCCAATCCCTGGCCATGTTTCCCATGAGCTCTTTCGCTGAAAGCCCTGTCAGTTCACGGCTTCGAGGATTCAGAGCTTTGCGCAGGCTCAGAAGACCATGCATAAAAAAGCGCCCTGACCGGAGCTCATTGACCGATAGCTGCCGCCACGTCTGGCAAGAGGCCTCCCCGCGAACATTGCTGTAGCCCGGCTGCCCTGCACGCCCCCTCCATCTGTCATCATTCGTATCTTCTAGTCGGCGGTTGCCCTGTTGTAGCTGGTGGCTCACGCCGCCGATCTGAGAGTTGCATTCCGGGCATCTGGCCTGCACCCAGGGCCGGGTGCAGTTTCCAATGGTATAAATGTAGCCGCAGCAGCAGGCATAAACACCCTCTCGCGCCGTGGCTCCGACGGTTGCAAGGACGGCCGCTGCTTCATCGCCGGGCATGAACGGCAACATCGCCTCTTGGAAGCTCGCAGGGGAGTCCAGCAAGCGATGCCAGAAGCTGGAGCGGTCTTCCACGCTTTTGAGTGCGAGGTGAAGCACAGGGCGAACCATGAACACCCATTCTGAGGTGCTAGTGTCCCGCACTTGCCAAGCCGGGCAATCAGGAAAGTTAGTCAGCAAAGCCATAAGCAGAACGTGAGGGAAGCCACTTGGCACCAGAATGCTTTCTGAAAGTGGCATAACCTGTGAGCGGAAATGCCCGAGATACTGCGTGGAGAAGACCGCCATGATCTTAGTAGTTGTGTCAGCTGCATGCAGACCTGGGCTGGACTGCTTTGGCAAAGTCTTGCTCTTCAGAATGTCGTCCTTGAGCGCGGCATACTGCTGTCCAAGAAAGATCGGAAGGTCGAGGCAGTCGCTCGGGCAAATATCCTATGCAGGTAGCACGATTGCAGCGGTTAGCTTAACAAACTCTACTCCGCGCACTGCTTCCACAAGGCACTCCCAATCCACAGCCCTGAAGAAGACACCCCACGCCCTGACCGCAAGCTCCTAAATGCATCGCGAACCCCCTAAACCCTAAACCCCCTAAACCCCCTCAACCCCCTAACCCCCCTAAACCCTAAACCCCCTAAACGAAGCAGCAAGGATTCCTGCACCAGTGCACTGGGCGGAGGGAGCCCATCGCTGATGGCGCTCAGCTCCAAGAATCGCCACTCCTGGGCTTTTGAATTAACCGGTTTAGGGCTTAGGGTTTAGGGTTTTTGAATTAATCGGTTTAGGGCTTAGGGTTTAGGGTTTTTGAATTAATCGGTTTAGGGCTTAGGGCTTAGGGTTTTTTGAATTAATCGGTTTAGGGCTTTGGGTTTAGGGTTTAGGGTTTTTGAATTAACCGGTTTAGGGCTGAGGGTTTAGGGTTTAGGGTTTTTGAATTAATCGGTTTAGGGCTTAAGATAAGCAAGAGGCCAGATGTACCACCATGATGGAATTCGCCCCCGAAAGACCATCCCCATTATGCTTGTTGGGGCATAGCTCAATAAATTTATGTAGTATGTTTGGATAAAGGACCCGAATTAACGGTACCAGTTGGGGATATGTGTAGGGCAACAAAACTACTTGTTCAAATACTGCGATGACTTGAACTATGTTCAGTAACGTCCTACCGAAAGCCAGTGAACATCCCTGTCAAGTATAAGTGATTCATTAATCGATTATGAAGCCCTCTGTCCGAAACCGCTTAAACTTATAAACCCTCCTAAGCCCTAAACCCTAAGCCCTAAACCTAATGAAAAATTCCTCAACAATAGCAAGAACTGAGACTCCTCCAGCCCAAGGCTTCGATGTCTGAGCTGTGCGAGCCTGGCTGGGCGTCATGCTTACGGTTTGAGACTCTGGGGGCTTCTTAGGAATATTTTCGGTTTTTCGGGTCATGCTTCGGGTTTGAGGGTTTCGGGAGTTTAGGGCTTTAGGGCTTTAGGGGTTTAGGATTCTTTTCGGGGCTTCGGGTCTTGAAGACTCGATCCGGGATTTTGAAAGCTTGAATCTGTCGAAGGCCAACCGGAACCCTCCAGACCCTGACAGCTCAATCCTTGACCCTACGTTCGGTTGAGCGGTTCTGTGCATCGCCATGCCTTCCGAAGCTGGTACCTTCTGACAATCCTACTCCATCCTACCTGGTTCCCTGTTGGGGCTTTATTAAAATTCGTCATTTTAATCCGTATCTAGGGTTTTATTATGACAAACATGTAAAATTGTATCCAACAAGGACCCAGCTACTCCTTTACTATCAACCAGGTGTTGGCCTCGGGGTTCAGGTAGGTAGTTCTCCAAATTGGGGTCTCCCTTTCAGGGTTCCTCTTTACAAGGGTGCCGTACTAGATTGGGGGCCTAAAAAAGGGACCCTCATTTTGCGAACAACCAATGTGCAGTAGTGCAGTTTTTGGGTTTTGAAGGCCTCGGGCTCATTCCTTCCTTCTGCGGCCGCTGGCAACAGATGCATGGTGGTGGCTGGTCGCAGTAGTTGCTAACCCCTAACCCTAGAAGGGTTGCTAAACACTGATGTCGTCGGTTCGAAGGCTAGCCCACACAAACTCCACAGCTTTCCACAAAAATGGTTTGGAGCTGAAGTTGGTGTACAGTTGTAGGGTGCGCTTGGCTTTACGTTTGTTGTTCTGGGGTCTAAGGTTTCGGTTTGCCCAAGGTCTCCACCTTTGGGTTTAAACGCCAGGCCCGAAAGCAGACACCCAATTTGGCTCAAGGGTGGAGGGACTCGAGGAAGCATTCCGAAGTCAAGGAGAGGAGCATTCGTCGCTGTTGTTGGGGGAGTTCTTGTCTCTGTCCCTAACTCCGAAGCCCCGTAGAGGCAAAACAAATCGCACACCCTCCCTAGAGCCTGGCAGGGTTTGTTTTTCAACTTCGGGGTATCGTTTTAATTAACTCGGTTCTCTGAAACCTATGTCCTACGTGCCTACATCCTCAACCCAAAACCAATCTAAATCAGGACGGGCACTCGATCCGGTCCATCCTCAGACTCCTCAGCTAAAACGATGGGGTTTAGGGTCGAGGGTTTAGGTTTTCAGAGAGATGGATGCGCTTCAGAACTCGTGAGCATGCGTCGAAGCAGCATTAAAAGCAGGGGCGGGTGGGGCTGAACTTGCACATGTCGTGAGAATTAAGCCCGGGATTCTACAATGGATGTCCAACCAACTGCACGCACAGCCTGCATGTAGTGGACCTACATGTACCTAAAATCTATACAGATATTTGATCGATGGTGTTGCTGGCAGTTCTATCGCGTCTTGGTTTGTCAACTGGTGAGCTGGCTACCTTGTTCACCTAGTGGGCCGGTCAGCGCGGCCGGCAGTCAGTCGGTCTGCCAGGGACTCACTCAGACATTAGATCGGTTCTCTGCAGTGCCATTGGGCCTCGAAGTCGTGAACTTGAGCTAGCCAGATGCTTAGTTAGACATGTAGATGAGTGCTTGAATTGTTTGGTCGGCTGGTTCGCTACCTAGTTTGCAAACTTGCTTGCATGTTTAGTTGGTGAAGAGCTAAACACTTCGTCAGCTGGTTTGCGCTGGATGCGGGCACATACGAAGCTATGTAGGGAGGCAAGCCAGCAAAAAAAGGGTGGTAGCTATGTTGTGAGGGAGTTTGGGTGGGTTAGTAGCTGCTGTAGCTGTTCTTGTAGCTAGATAAGGCAGCAGGCTTCATATTAAAGTAATGCTGGCGCAGTATGTCAGGAAAGGCTCTTGACCAAGAACACTTCCAACGTGCGACGGGACGGACCAGCTCCAGCTGTAGATGATGTGGCATCCTCAAGAAGATCTGCTGCGACCTGGACAAAGCTCCTAACGGCAGCAGCAGCAGCAGCAGGAGNNCAGCAGGAGGAGGAGCAGCAGGAGCAATGCAGGAGCAGGGGCAGCAGTCGCAGATTCGCAGATTCGCCGCAGCCGCACAAATAGCTGTAGGAGTATAGCAGCAGCAGTGCCAGCAGCTGCAGTAGCAGAACATACAATTACGCCACAACATGACAGGCAAACCGCCTGAGCGCGTGCTCCCCTAAAACTTACTGGGCAAAGCTCATCGAATACCTCGGCCAGGGCGGCTGGTGTTTCATCCTTCCAAACAAGCCCAAGCAAGGTTTGTCTGTCACTTCCGGACCAAAACCATGCACTCCAGCAAACACCGATTGCTAGATGTTCATCAAAAGATCTCACAAACTGAGCACGAAACTTCAATCAATCTCTCTGAACACCCCAGCAGTGCGAAGGCCTTCGAAATCGCCTTGTCTGGGTGGTTCTCACGAACCGTCTTCGCTGCTCGCATCAGTACCTTCGGTGAGAGGGGCGGTGAAAGTTGGGGCGGTTAGAGTTGCTGTGTGTGTGTGCATGTGTGTGTGTGTGTGTTTTTTTTTGGGGTGGGGTTCAAGCATCAAAGTTGCAACGAGCCAGGGGTGTTGAGTCATGCGTGGAAGGTCGGGCTTCCGTGCTGGACCGCTTAAAATTCAAGTTCAGAGGCCTCAAGCACACGCGAGTACATGTTTCACCTGCATGGTGCGATGGCGGGGGCGTAGCTAGGAATCCTTTTTGGGGGCGGCGGTAGGGGGGGGCTTCAGTCAGTACGTAATAGTCTGTATTACTACATATAGTGGTATTGTTGCTGAAACTCATCAACAAGTGCCATCAGCCATCAGCCATAATCATCATCATCATCATCAGCATCATGAGCATAATCGTTGTGTTGATGCTTGCTCTTCTTCATTGCGTCTCCTTGCTTTTGTGGTGTTGCTGTTGGTGTGGCGATGCGCTGGTGCTGATTGTATCTGCTGCTGACTTTGCGTTTTCGCGTTTGTCTTGAGGGTGCAAAGAAGTTTACTTGTTCAAGCTGAGGGCATCGCAACGCTTTGTTTTGATTAAGGAGTCGGCTGGGCAATGCTTTGTAGCGGCAGCAGGCTTTGCAGAAGCAGCATCAAGCCCCCTCCCTGTGTACAAGAACATGAACGTTCGTAGCCTCCCCCTTTCAGCTCACCCCAGATTGCAGCAGCAACTATCGTAGCAGCAGCAGCAGCAGTAGCAGTAGTCCCCGTAG